GAGCTGGTGGACCTGAAGATCGTGTGGAACAAGACCAAGCACGACGTGAGGGTTCCTCTGGACAGCACGGGCTCGGAGCTGAAGCAGAAGATCCACGCCATCACGGGTAACCCGGCCGCGCGCGCCCCGCCGCCGCCGCGGCGTCCGGGCCGGAGGCAGTGCCTGGGCGCCGGGTAGCAGGCGGGCGGAAGGACGGGACTGAAAGCACGGCGGGGCGGCGAGACCCACGCCCCGGCCCCGGCCCCGGGCCTCCAGCCGCACCGAGTGCAGGTCTGGCTGCCGCCCTAGTGCAGTCACCTGGGGCGCCGGGTGAACGCCCCGCGGTGGGCCCTGCCCCTGTAGGGTCGCGTTCCGCGGGCCCGGGATGTAGCCCCCAGTCTGTTCGCAGCGAAATACTTTAGGTAACTTTGGTAAAGGAAGTTTAAGAAACAGCGCCGCGGACTGTGTCACTGACTTAGAGATCACTCGTATTTGTTAATTTCATGTTCTTCGTGATGCTTTGCTATTTGAAGTGGTGTCTAAAAAAAGCTTTCTCCATGTAGCTTATGAAGTGATGAGAACAAGTAATTTTGGTCTTTCTGGCTTTGATTTTACGTCTGAGTTCCCACTTAATGTTTGAGCGATTAGATGACTTAAGAAAGAACTTGGGACGTATTCCAGTATTCACGGAACAATTACCTGCTACAATACTAGGTGATGCGCTGCACGCTCTACGTTTGTGTTGCGTGTTCATCCTTAAAGCACATTATATTGAAGCATCTGCTGTCATCGCTATCATAAAGTTCTGGATGATTACTTCCTGCTGTTACTCTCAATACCTCTTTTTTGTTTTTGAGACAGTCTCCTTGTAGTTGAGGTTGACCTTGAATGCGCAGCAGTCCTCCTACCTCAGTTTCCCAAGTGCTGGGGTGACAGGCATGCCCCACAACGCCTGGCTTCCTTGTGCTCTTCCTCAGGATCTGTGGCAGGTACATGTGGGTGTGTTGGTGCCTGCCTTTAGCTCTGCTCTTTCTCCTCTCCCCAAGGACTCCCGCCCGCCATGCAGAAGGTCATGTATAAGGGGCTCGTCCCTGAAGACAAGACGTTGAGAGAAATCAAGGTGACCGGTGGGGCCAAGATCATGGTGGTTGGCTCCACGATAAACGATGTTTTAGCAGTTAACACGCCCAAAGATGCTTCGCAGCAGGACGCCACGGCTGACGAGAACAAGAAGGAGCCCCTCTGCAGGCAGAAAGTGAGTCCGTCGTGTGCTTGTTGCTCTTGAGCAACTGCAGGCTTTGTCTTCTCCAGCCTCGGCTGGTTACATTCTCCCTAGAATAAGTTCCTTTTCGGACAGGGCCCATGATGGAAATTTATGGCAGCAGTTGGGTGCGGCACAGTGGAGGTGACAACTGCCTGAGATTTGCAGCTTTATTTCATCTGGCGGGTCAGTGTGTCTCAAGTCTACCTACTTTAGAACAAGGCTTTTGCAGAGGGAACTTCGACCAGATGTTGAGGAATCAGATGTGGGTTTCTCTGCTCTACTTAGTGTTGCAGAAAAATGCCAGTCATGCTAGAATTAAGCCCCCACCTTATGTACGAAGGTGTGCATTTGGTTTGTAGTTTCTCCCAATCGGGAAAGCCCAGTAGGGGCTGGGGATAGAGCTGGGTGGCACAGCCGTGCATGACCTTCACAGGGTTCTGAGTTTGATTGCTGGAACAACAACAGAAAAAAGTACAGGCATAGAAATCAACAAATTTCAGAGGTTCCTCTAAAACTAACCATTTCAGGGAGCCAGATGAAGCTGAGTGAGAAGATACCGCTTTCCTTGTCTTCGGATCTACGAAATACTGGCTAGGTTTTGTTTTATAATTCCTCCATTACTCCTATTTGGAAGAACCCAGCTTTGGCTTGGACTCATGGGAAACATTAAGAGGGGTTTTTTTTTGTTTTTTGCTGTTTATTTGCCTGCTTACTGTGGTACTGGTGATTGAACATAGCCGTTGCATTGAGCTCCATCTACAAACCTTCAATTTTTTTTTTTTAATTTTGAGACAGGGACCCATTGAGTTGCTCAGGCTGCACTCAGACTTGCTGCCCTCTTCGGGCTTCCACTGTGCTGCTGGGGTTCCAGGTGTGCACCCCGTGCCCACCTGAAAGTGCTTACTGATTGGAACTGTCACCACCTGTCCTGTTAGCGCCCAGTGGATCCTGCTTGTTGCTCAGTAGCTCCTGCACTGGGGAAGCGTTCTCCGTTCAGCCTGCACCCTAGCAGAGTAGCTCACTTTGATCTAGCGTCAGTTTTAGTGAAAGTAGACTTGGAAACATGAGCGCAGTGCCGGGCCGCAGCTTTGTGCTCCCAAGACAGCAGCATTGTCGCAGGCTTAGCCGCACAGCCTGGCAGGTAGTGTGAGTGGCGAAATGCGGCTCTGTTCTCTGCGGCGCTTTTGTTGGTAAGCTGTTGTCTTATGCTCTATTGTGGATGTTCACATGTGCATGCGTGTGCGCGCGCGTGCGTGTTGTGCTGGGCATTCAACTTTGAACTCTAGGCCTTGCTGCTGAGCTGCATGCTCTTTGTAATTTTTGAGACACAGTTTTACTGAGTTGCTGAACTACCTGGAATTTGCACTTCTGCCTCAGCCTTCTAGAGTGCTAAAATTACAAGTGTGTCCTTCCACGCCTGGTTTGATAATATATTTATACCTTGTAATACTTCGGTTTTTACAGAACCCTTGCTGTGCTTAAGTCTAAAACTATCCTTTTTTTTTTTTTTTTTTTTTTTTTTGGGGCGGAACCAGGTATCGAACATGGGCCCTTGTGCTTGCCAGGCAAGTGCTTATTCTACTGAGCCATCTCCCCGGCCCTCTGACACTATTCTTAAGGGTGGTTTTTGTTGATGTGGTAGTGCAGGGAAAACTAAACTGAGGGTCTCACAATGCTGTACCAGTGAAATCTACTTCCATCCCTTGTGGGGTTTTTCATTGTGTTTTTTATTTTTGGGAGGGGGCTAGCACAGCATGCGGTGCTGGGGATATGTCTGGTCCCTGTGATTGCCTAAGCTTGTCTAAGCAGGAGCTTTAGTCCACTGAGCTATTTCACCGGCTGTGATTTTTTTTTTTTTTTTAAATGTATTTGCAGGGTTTTAATATACAGCTCAGACTCATATCTTCCTGTTTTCAGCCTTCCCATCCCTGGATTATAGGCATGTGCCACCACGCGCAGTCTCTGTGGCCCACTCAGAGCTCCTGGGGCCAAGGTGGCATGTGGCACTGGGGATCGAACCCTGGTCCCGGCGCTTGCCTAAGCAGGCACTTAGTCTGGTGAGCTGTCTTGCCAGCCCTCCATTGTGTTTTTGATTCTGATGCTGAGTATCATACTCCTAGCCTCTGTCCGCAGCGCTGTAGGTAAGGGACCATAAATGTGTAGTAACACGTAAAAGGCATTTATCTGGCCAGTCTCTTCCTCCTTCAAGAAGCGGGTCGCACTATCCCGTGATGTGTTGAGTTCATTTCTGCTCTCCTTCTCTCCCTTGCATGCATGGAGTAGACGGCAGCGAGGACTCACTGGTTCTACCTGTAGAGCATGGCAGGCCTCCGAGGCACGGGCTTGGAGTATGCTAGTGGCAGCCTCACGGGCCCAGAGCTTTGTCTATGGGCAGGGGAAATCTTCAGCAGGTGCTTCAGGCTCCGACTCCAGTTGCTCCTAGCCTCAGCTGCTTGGCCCCAGGGACGCCGGTTAGGAGGCGTGAGAGTCCAGTCTTTGTTCAGGACTTGGGCTGCTGGACAGGGCAACCCTTCTGTTAACAGTATGGCAGTGTCAGATGCGTTTCTGCTTGGCCAGGAGCTGTGCTGGATCAGGCCTCTCCTGGTGCTATGTTAGACTCCATCTTTACCTCTGGCCACTTACTGCTCTGTGGTTCCAGCTTTACCAAGCAGTTACTAAACCTAGAAAGCCACAGGTGAGCAGAGCAGAGGATGAGGCCTCAGCAGTCAGGCCAGGGAGGAGAGCTACGTTAAGGGCCTGCGATGGAGCCCCTCCTGAGCTGCCCCCGAGTCCTGGAGTTGTGCAGGGGGACTGACATGGGGTTGAAGACTTCTCCATGTTGGAACATAGAGCACTCAGCATTTCTGTGTGCAAGCGTGGCTCTGTGGGTTTTCTGTGTGGCTGAGGCGGAGGGTGGAGCAGTGGGAAGCCTGAGGCAGTCTGCATCTCCATTGGTAAAGAAATGGCTTTTCTAGGCAGTTGGGCTGATTACCAAACGCTCAAGTTCTCTTTGGAAGTTTAAGTGGACAAACGTTGTTATGAGCTACCTTCCAGGAGAACAGTACTCTCCTTAGCTCGATGAATCCTCGCAGTGGTGACGTGGTGGGAGGAGGAAAAAGCGTTTGAACTGGCAATCTAGCGGTGGTTCTTGCTGTGGGTCTTTAATGTCTAATAGAGTATCTTTATCTGGCTGATTGAAAGTGATGTAAACTAAGAGTTTAGCACCATAGTCTGACAGCCACGTTGGGAGCACAGGCATGGTCTGCGGGGACACTGAGAAGCACGTCCATCACAGAGGCTTGAGCAGAATAGTACTGCCCTGCAGCGTCAGGGACCTGTGCTCTGTGCACATTAGCAGCCTTAGTTCGGGAACCTGAAGGCTTTCTTCATCCTGATTGCAGAGAGGTAGCAGCTTGCCTGACATGTAGCTGTTTCACTTAACGATCTCTTCTGATTTATAGCAACACAGGAAAGTGTTGGATAAAGGAAAACCTGAAGACGTGATGCCTTCTGTTAGGGGTGTCCAGGTGAGTGCAACTGTTCGCGAGCCTCGGAGCAGAAACTCGTTGCACTTTGAGAGTCCCGTAATTGTGTCTTGGAACCTGTCCTCCTCTTTCTGCCCAAGTGTCCCCTCTTACCGTGGTGCTGTCCCTGCAGGAGCGCCTGCCAGCAGTCCCTCTGTCCGGCATGTACAACAAGTCTGGGGGAAAAGTGAGGCTCACCTTTAAGCTAGAACAGGACCAGCTGTGGATCGGCACTAAAGGTACGGCTGCCCCGTGTGCTCCTGGGCTCGCCGCCCGTCTCGGCTCCCAGCCACACGCACTTCTGAGTGCGCGTCTCCTCGTCTGGAAGCCTCTCTCCACCATGCTGTGTGTGCTTCTGCCTTTTGGATCTGCTTTTAGATGCCTGCCTCTTGTTTGGGCCTTTTTCCGTCCTTATTTTCAGTCCATTCCCGGGGCCAATCCATCAGAACATTGACCCTTCACTTGTACATAGGACTAGAGGTCCCAAACACGTGGCCAGAGGGTTGGGTCTGGTCCCTAGGCAAGGGTTTTATGGGTTTGTACACAATTGGCAAAAATCAGATCTCAGTCCATTTTATCTTACTTGGCTTCTTTTGAAAAGAATTAAAAGTGTGGTTATTTGGGGCCTGTGTTCTCACATGGCGTCAAGGAATGATGCTGAGCAGTTGCTGGTGGCCGTGCCGCAGTGCCCATGGCCCTCTGTTTTGTGTAGTCAGCTTCACTCACTTTTGTCCCCTGCCTGGCCCGTAGGTCATTTTGGCCCTGTGCTAGGTGATGTTTTCCGACTTGCTGCTGTCCAACTTGCTTGACTGCCTGTCTCAGCACCGCTGTCAGTGCATAGTGCTTGGGTCAGCCTGCTGTTTGCTGGGGAATGCCTCTGACCAGCCGCCTTTGCCTTCCCTGCAGATGGTTACAGAGTAGTCCTGTCGGTCACGTGCCAGAATTGTCTGTGTCCCTTAGCTTGCCGCTTTATTGTGCCAGTTAAGGCTGCTAGTGTCTTCCCGGTGTGATGTGTTGAAAGCATGTCAGCTTCTCTCTGCTTTTGTGTCTTGTCCTGTCCATTTGCCATATGCTGCTTGTGAGTGGTTCCTGGACTCCGAAAGCTGTGGCGCGTTAAGGCCACGTTCTCGTGCTTGGCCTGGTCTGTTTCTTCTCCACAGTGGGCCCCGTTTCAATTGCTGCCTGCTGTGTGTGCCCCACTGTGCCCCGTGTATTCAGCTGCATCAGCCCTGACCTTGCCAGCCTGTGCTTTGCACAGCTTGGTGTCTTTGCTTACGTTGTGTCCTTACCTGGTACGAATGCCTTCTTCCTGTTCCTCGTTATTAACAAAATCTTCTGAAGCTCTCCTTTGGTGCCCGCTCCTAATGAAGCCCTCCCTGGTAGCTACCCCCCCCCCCCTCCGATGAACTGCTGCGCTTCTGTCCCCAGAGCACTCATTACTCTCTGACTTGTCTGTCCCCGTTAGATTCCTGGAGGGAACCGAACATGCCTAAGTCACCTGTTTGTGGCCAGCACTGTAGGTATTCAGAGTTCGAGGTAAATGCTAAAGAGAGTATAGAGGATCCATCTTCACGAGGCTGACTGACTTCAGGGACAGGCCATTCAGTGTGACTCGCTGAAAGTGGGGCTGTAGTGGGACAGAAAATAAAACGTGGGGCAAGGGTGGCGGGGAGTGAGTTTTTTAAAGAAACCATGAAAGTTTTAGAACACAAAAACTGCTGACTCTGCTGACTCTAAGCGGCAGATCAGAGTGCCAAGAGCACTTGCGTCTCCAGCGACTTTGTGATAATTCGCAACATTCTTCATTTTACATTCAACGCGACCTGCACGGTCATCGCAAGTTGAGCACGTTTTGTGGCTTTCCCCAGTCTTTGCAAGGGCCTCCGACCCGTTTGCCAGCGATTGCTGCGGCGCCTGATCGCCGCTCTGCGGCCCTGGCTCCCATCCTCTGGGCTTCCTTGGCTCTCCATCATGCTCTCACGGCGGCAGCTCGCAGACTTCCTGCCCCTTGCTAGAGTTTTCCTTTGCTGAGGGCAGCGCAGCTGAAGGCGGTTGCCAAGGTTGGTTGGGCTGGTGCTGCCCAGCAGGATGGGTACAGGCAGGGGTCTGGGTGGAGTCCAGTCTGCGTGCTTGCTGGGGCTTCAGGGCATACTTCTGTTACGAAGTCAGAGAAGGAGCACGGAGGGACTGGCCCAGTGAGGACGGCCTGCCTTACTTCAGCTGCCTGGTGCTCAGTGCTGAGGGCAGAGCTCCCAGAGTAGCCGGATGCATCGGGCTTCTCCTCCCCTAAGAGCCTTCTTAGGTGGCCTCCGGCTCCTCACGCCTGCAGGCTTGAGCATGGCTGAGTTCCTCAGTCCCATGTAGAGCCCCTCAGCTGCCTGGGCGTCCTGGAGAAGGGCACACTGTCCAGGGAGTTGGTGGTGAGCACTGGCTTCATCTTGCCACAGCTGGATGTTGCCGTGGAGCAGCCGCCCTGGCGCTGCCTGGTTTCATGGCGTAAGTGGCCCTCCAGGGCTGCCACTTCCAGAATAGGTGCTCTGCCGCAGGGTGTTAGGGGACACTAGCTGAAGGCTGTGCCTTGGAGGGAAGTTGAAGCTGTCTGCAGAGCAAAGCTCCGTGCAGAGCGGGTGCTCTTGAGCCTGATAGCTACGGATCTGGAGTGGGTCCAGCAGCGTCTAGCCTTGGGGTTTTCAAGAGAAGCCAGAAGTCTATACCTTCACGTGGAGTGTTTAGACATTTCAAGCTGAAAGCTTTTAATGTTTCAGAGCAGAGTTTTGTTCTGGCTTTTTAAAAAGTCCTTTACTCATGTGATACAGAGTATCACTACGTAGTTCTGACTCCTAGTGATCCCCCCTGTCAGCCTCCCTAGTGCTGGGATTACAGGCGCAGGCCACCATGCCTAGTTTTGGTGGCTGGCAAGGCATGTGGTTCCAGGCATCAAAAGGAATCGAACTCAGGACCTTGTGCTTGCCAGGCAGTCACTTAAGACTGCCGAGCTCACTCCCCAGCCTGTTTTGGCTTTTGAGACAGGCTCTTACTGTGCATTTCTCGCAGGCCTTGAACTCACTGTGTAACCCAGGCTGGCCCAGCTGATGGCGATCCTCTTGCCTCCCAAGACTGAGGTTACAGGTGCGGCACCACCATACCCTGCGAAGCACTCAGCCGTGGAGACCGCTGTGGGTCTTGTCCTGTTAGTGGGCTCTGTAGGGAGCCGCAGGAAGTGTAAGCTAGAATGAGTGTCTTTAGGCCCCTTATTGAGATTGCCACCATCCCAGAAACCAAGTCCTCCAAAGTGGAAGGCCCTCGTCTTCCGTGGTCAGCTGGACTAGAGCCAGGCCTCTAAATCCCAAGGCTATTTGACACCTTACCTGTTTTCACGTCCTGCGTTTTCAGATTTTCCTTTATGCAGAGGCTGTAATGAGTCTTTTCCTTTGGTTTAGCTGTGCAGCAAAATGCCTGCCTGCGTGTCTCAGGAGTCTGCTGCTTCTGGGTGACTTGTGGTGCGGGGGCCCGTCCTGCCCGCACGTAGCGCTAGCGCTGCAGCTGGCTCATGCTCAGCAGTCTTGTTTCCAAGCGCCCCTCTCTTCTGCCTCTTTCTGACCCAACGTCCTTAAATTTGCTGCAAACTATGTTGTAGCCCTGTGTGATTAGTGCTGTCTCCAATGTCCACTCATGAGGGTAGAAATGTTTAAAGAGCTTTGTGGCATGTGTCAGTCCTCGGGGCGAGGGGAAGGAGGGAGACTGAAGCAGGACAGAGGTGCACAGGAGCACTGTGCCTCCGTGTGAGACCCCTGGGCGCACTTGCATCTTCGTGTTTGTACGCTTGATCCTCCCTGTTCTAGGTGACTATGACCTTCACCACCGCTTGGGCTGGGCAGTGAGGGGCAGAGTTTCTTGGGTAGCTATTCATTCTCGGACTTGAAAAACTAACACCGTGGGCCAGGGAGATGGCTCGGGGGCATAAGCGCCTACCTGGCAGGCGCCAGGCCCCGAGTTCGATCCCTGGTACAAAAGAAAACAACAGGAAAAACACACAGATGCAAGCATACGAAAGAAAGAAACCTAGTACTAGGAAAGCTGTAGCTCTGCTCTCAGAGACCTGTGCTGTGTCATTGCCAGTCCCTATAAGGAGTTCCCAGGTCCCAAGCAGAGATCTGGACTGCTGATCGGAGATGGCGGCCCGTGTTCTTTAGAGGGCTTTGCAGTCAGGTGCTTGCGCAGATCCCCAGCCCTGATGAGGGAGGGACTGCCGAGACAGTGGCGCTGGAGCAGGAAGGCCTTCGAGTAACCGCTGCCATCCTCTCAATCTAGAGCGGACCGAGAAATTGCCCATGGGCTCCATTAAAAACGTGGTCAGTGAGCCTATCGAAGGACATGAGGACTACCACATGATGGTGAGTACCCGGGTGGGCCCAGCCTGAACTCGGCGCCCCTGCCTGTCGGGCACGGGGTGCAGCTGAAGTTGCACTTTTCTGATTGCAAAGAGAACGTGCTCTCACAGCTTTGAGAACCCAGGTGTGGTGGAGCACGCCTGCCATCCTAGCACTTGGGAGGCTGAGGTCGGAGGCTTGGGAGTTGAGGCCAGCCTGGATAGCAAGACCAGGTCTCAGCGAGCGGTAGGGGGGCCTTCATGGGGTTTTCTGTCAGTGTAGAGTTTGTTTTTTCTTAATTTTTTAAATTTGTATTTTAGGGAAGGGTCTCCAGGGTGTTCAGGGTTTACAGCCTCCCAAGAGCTGGGATTCCAGGCGCGCACCACGCCCAGTCTCACTTGTTATCTCAGCGCCCTGGGGCGGGCCGGCACTTAGGCCCAGGGATGGGACTCCCGGCCCTGCACCTGTGTTCAGGTGCTTTAATCTGCTGAGCTATTTTTCTTTCTCTCCCACTGAGCTGTTTGGCCGGCCCTGTGAGTGTAGAGTTTAACTGATGAGCCCATTCTGTGCTCTGTTCACTGTGCAGCAGCCTTTGTGCCCTGCCTACCTTCAGTTTATAGGGAGGTTTTCTCTTGCCCACCTTTAATAATGTTTCTTAGACCTCTTCCTTGTTTGCAGACCAGGAAAATAAATAGAAGAATGGCTTGTGGAGTGTCATTTTTTGTTGTCATTGTGATGGACCCTCCCGCCGAGGCCACGGTGGCAGACATCCACAGCCTCTGTAGTAGCCCTGCTCGTCCCAGCTGTGTGTCTGCTGCGTGGAGCTGCGCCTGGAACGTGGCCCGCTCTGTCCCGAGTCAGCGTGTTGGGGCGCTCTACAAGTCCCCACAGCGATCCCGTACAATGAGCAGCTTGGGCAAAGCTCTTTTCCCGGCACTTTCAACATTTAGCTTCCTAAACTTGTAGGTTATTCTGAACTTAGAAAATGCTGCATTTGTGCTGAGGTAACAGTCTTGTGCCGCTGGGGCCGTCTGCCCTGCTCCCTCTGAGGAGGCATATTTTCTGCATCTTGTCATTAGCAGTGCCATGGTGTCAACCCCATCCCAAGGAACAGGGAAACGGTGTGATCTGTACAAGGGGGTCTCGGGGGTCTCGAAGCAGAGCGCTGTGTCAGATCCCCAAGCAGTGATGTGTTCTAAAAACAGCATAAGACATGACAGCTGAGGGCCGGCCAAACAGCTCAGTGGATCAAACCCGGTTTCACAGCCTTTTTGGCTCCACATTGTAGTGATGTCCTGACCTCAGGGTCCCTAAGGATCTGCCTGCTCAGACCCTGGTCCAAGGCCCGTATGTCTCTGGACAAGCCACACCTTCTGGACTTTCGTCCCCTACTGATTACTTGTTTTTTTGGTTTTGTTTATTTATTTTTGGTGGAACCAGGGATTGAACTGGGGCCCTTGTGCTTGCCAGGCGAGCGCTTATTCTACTGAACCATCTCCCTGGCCTACTCCCTACTGATTGCTTTTTATTTGTGACAGGATTTTGTCACCTTGGACAGTGCCACCTTGAGGACCTATTCCCTTCTGCGTGTGTGACACATTTTCTAGGCCAGTGGGTCTCACACACCTGCCACAGCAGAGCTGTGGCCCTCAGGCACTTGCTGGCAGCTTCTCAGGCCCCACCTCATCCCTAGCCAGACCTTCCCTAGAGCCTGGAGGTGCGGTCTTCACAGCCTTTGTCTTTTTGAGACAGGGTCTCCCTGTGCAGCTCAGGCTGGTCTTGAACTCTTAACGATCCTCCTGCCTCAGCTCCCAAATGCTGGGATTACTGGTGTGCGTCTCCCTGCCCGCCCTCGGCGTGGTTCTGCTGTGCACTCGGGTTTGGAGGTGTTGCTGTGAGGTTAGGGGCATGCTTGCTGTGTGCACCGCTGCGGTGCTTTCTCTTCCTTTTCAGTGAACTCACTCCTGCCCCTGCCTGCGTGAGCAGCCGCCTGAATGGCACTCCTTCTTTCTCCCTTCCAGGCATTTCAGTTGGGCCCCACGGAAGCCTCTTACTACTGGGTGTACTGGGTTCCAACTCAATACGTGGACGCAATCAAAGACACTGTGCTGGGCAAGTGGCAGTATTTTTGAAAGCACTTTCACCTCTGGCCCAGGAAACTGACCCAAAGTGAAGGACCTTGCGGGAGAGGCCTGCAGCATCCTGGATCTGAGTTCTGGAACTTTGTTCACATAAACCGTCTCTGCGCAGTCTGCGGTCATGTGGGGACTGAAGCCAGAGGTGATGTACTTGCACCATTAGCTTAATTTTAACTTAAAATCACCAGTTCCCTTTCTTGCAGTCAGCTTCATACCGTTTTTAAAGTCAGTACCATGGAAATCAATAAATCTGAATTCCGAACACATCTGGAATACTCTACAATCTGTTTATGAGAGTAGATCTGCCGATTGATGTTGAGAAGGGAATCAAAAGCTTTGTTTAATTTTTTGCTTTTAAATGATTTCAACTGAGATATTTTCATAAATCTTTGGTTGCAAGCATTTGGACTGCATTGTGCTAAGTTGGGGTGTTTTCTTTTTCTTTCCTGATGTAAAATTGTATGCAAAATAGGGGTTTTAGTAAGCCATATTTTCCTGTCCATCGATTCAGATTTCATTCTCTCCCTTTTTAATTTTCTCACTTCCTTTAGATTTGAGTTTTCATTTAAAAAACCCAAAGATACCAGTTCCTCTTTCGGTACCTCATCCGCGCCTCTTCCCTGTGCTTCTCCCCGTGTGGCCACTGCTGCTTGGGGCAGTGCGGCAGAGCAGGCGCCAGGAGGTCTTGGTCAGGGAGCCTCCCTGCCGCAGTGTCTGTGGGCAGCAGAGTCCCGCAAGGACTCCCACCTGCCGCCTTGCCCTGGGACCCGGCTCCCCGAGCCGCAGCTCCAGCAGGAGCAGGTGAAGTTGGTCGGCGCAGCACTGCGGCCGCAGAGCGAGAGACCTGTTTTCTTTGCAAGTTTCAAGAAGCTCTTACACAGTTCAGTGATGCTGTGCTCCTGCGTCCGCGTCATCCTTCTGCCTGTGCGTTCGTGAGTTGAAGTGTCCTTTGCCCTGGGCCCAGAGCCGCTGCCTGTGCAGCACAAGGACATCTGCGCTGTGGTGTGGCTGGTGGCACCGGCCGGCAGGAGCAGGCTCATCTTCTGGTCTCAGCCCCTGTGTTCTTCGTACACGTGAACTTCTGTTGTCTCCTCCGGACTTGGCTGCCTCTGAGGGAGGGCCAGTCTCCTAGTGGAAGGTCCCTTCGTGCCGTTTGCTGTTTCTCTGCTGCTGTCCTCGCAGTTCTCCCCGCGGTGGTCGCAGGCGCTCGTCGTGAGGACTGGCAAGAAGCCTTCCCGCCTTCACACTTTGGATGCTCAGCTGTTGCCCTCTCGTTCTGTGACACGTACTAGCATGTGGTCCTCTGCGGTGACTGTCCTCGTGAGCCAGTTAGTGACGGTATCCGTGCCCTCCCCTCCAAGCTGTAGCCAGGGAGCCAGCGCCCAGAGACAGACCTGCTCCGCGAGGGTAGGCAGTGCCGCGGGCCACACTCTGCGGCTCGGGCAGGCGTGCGTGGGAAGCGCTGCACGGTCCGAGAGGCCGCCCTCGTCCTCGGCGAGGAGCAGGCACTGCTCTCCGCGCCCCTCAGCCTGCGGCTCTAGGGAGGAGCGCGTGTCCTGGCTGCTCGCGTGTCCTGGCTGCTCGCGGCAGCCCGCGGTCGATGGGTCCACAGAGGGGCAGCAGCTGTTGGACGCTGCCCTTCCCGTGTGCCACGTCATTGTCCTGAAGACTTGTCTGGCAGTGCCAACACCCCCCCTCGGCCTCAGCAGGCTTTTCTGTCCCGATGGGTTCTGAAGCCCCTCGCCAGCCTCTTGTACGCCCTGTGTGGCGCCCAGCCCCCTCCGCCGCCCCTTCCTGTTCATGTGAGTGCCACCCTCCCAGCTGCCCAAGGGCCGAACCGCTTCTCACTCAGGCTGGTGTCGTGTCACGAGGACCAAAGCCTGTGTGAACCTTTTTTATTTTCAGTAAAATGGTGCTTTTTTTCCTTACTTCAAGATATTATATATAAATAATAATGTAAATGACATCTTTTCATATGGAGCTATTGAATATTGCTTTAAAGAGCTCATTGAATCTGCTGTCCCAGTCTTGAGCTCTGGCTCCTTGCCCTGGCCACGTGGAGAGCCCTGCCGAAGCTCTGGGGACAGCAGGGGCACACAGCACCAGAAGCCCATGGGAGAAGTGTTTGAAGCTCCATGTCTGGCTCCCAGCAGTGTTCACTATTCTGTCGTCACATTCTGTGGGCAGTCAGTCTCTCTATTTCTTAGTGTCTGGAGTTTACTGACTAAATCTGTAAGCAAATTGAAATACTCTTCCCTTTAAGTAGCATCGTAGAGTTTATTGTTTTCCTCAGGATTATTTCTGCAGTTTCGTCACTGTCAGTTTAAAGGGGACCAGCGCCTCCCCTCTGGCTGGGGCATGCAGGTAGGTGACGGGAGCGCGGCCTCCTGATGGTGGCATCCCCAGAAGTGAAGGTGGAGGTGGCCGGCCCACACAGCCGCCCCGGGCCACCTGGTGACGTGCTGGAGATCCTCCTGCCCGGCATCCTGCAGACCCCTTGCCTGTTTCCCTCTGGGGGACTTGGCAGAACAATGTGACAGCATCGTCCCTGCTGAGCCAGGGCCTCTCAGCACCCTGTCGGTCAGGTCAGAGAATTCAGATTTGCGAGTCGCTGGAACTCTTTGGTATGAAGTCTGGCCCTCTAGGGTGGGCCTTTTGCTGGCTGTGTCTGCTCTTTTTAAATGAGTGAGCTAAGGATGCACTTTCTTATAACTTTGTGGACAGAGTAGAGGCCCGAATGAGACCCTCAATAGGCTTCGTAGTTGCTGCTTTACCTTGCAAGGGCCAAAGAGATGAAGTTTGCCACGCCTCAGAAAAGCTGCCGTATTTCGCTGGAAGGGGCTGGCTGTCCTCCTGTCACTGAGCTGTGCACCTGGAGGAGCTGGGTGCGCTCGCGCCTGGCCCGCTCTGCCAGGAGCTGGGCACGGAGAAGGGTGTGGCCAGCGTGCGAGCGCTGGGCCTGGGTCCCACTCGCCTCTCCCTCTCCTTGTCTGCTCTCGGCAGCTGTCTCGGCAGAGGATGGTCCCTTTGTCCTAAGGCAGAGTCCTGCAGTTAGGACGGCACGTGTCTCCTTTGTCGGCCTAGCAGCCCGCCTGAAGTCCTCGGTCAGGAGCCCTCCGCCGAGCAGAACAGCTGGTAGGCTTCCCGCCAGCCCGGCTGGCTGTGCTGCTCCCTCACTTGCTAAAAGAGCGTTTTTTTCTTTCCTAAAGAGTTGTGCAGTTATTTGACAAATATATGTAAGTATCATGTTTTCTCGTGGTGTACGCTCTGTTCTGGTTGGTTTTTAAATCAAATGCCTGTTTGGGAGGAGAACGTACGTATTTAGTCTATTAGATTTGCGCTGCTGGATTTTTTTTTTTAAAGTGTAACCTTGACTAGCTGTCTTTATTGTTCATTCTGTAAGATTAGTCTATCGATTAAAGTTTGATAATTAATCAGTGTCTTTCCAGTTCTTCCCGCGCCTCATTCACCCATATCTGCACCAGTGGCCAGAGCCATCTTTTGCCAGCTTTGATTTTTCTTTGGCTTTAGTTGGTCTGTGGCAGGCAGGGGGCCACATCTGCCAGGGCCGCTGCACAGCTGGGGGAAGCAGCCTTCCTGCCCACCCTCTCCTGTACCTCCCGGAGCACTTCGCCAGTGCGGCATGTCCAAGGAGACGTGGGAGTGGCGCTCCAGCTACAGAAACCCGTGAGGAAGAAGACTTGGGCAGCGTGGGACAAGGGCGGGTGCTTCTGGCCCAGGGCCGTCCACAAGAGCCGTCCTCCTGGTCTGTGTCTCGAGGTGCTCCTGAAGGCTCTGCTGTCCCTTCCCCTTGCGGCAGGGGATGGTCCGCTCTTTCCTGCACCAGGATCCTGAAGCAACCCGGCTTGGAACGGGAGGCCGCCTAGGCGGAGACCAGGCCCAGTGGCCAGGCCGCAGCGCTGCGCCCTCAGGCCCTCCGCCATCTCCAGCTGGTTTTGGCTTTGTGTAGTCTATCAAGGTTATCGGAGATTTTCAAATTTCCTGCTTCTGTTTTTACCCTTCCTTAAATAGACCTTATTTTTCCCCCTTGTTTGAAAAATCTTCAAGCTGACAGCTGAAATGTCCTATTTTTTATTGTTTTTATGCCTTCCACGTAGGTTTATCAGTGATTAAAATACTGCCTGCTTTGTCTAGATGCACCTGTTTTCTGAAACGTTTGACAGATGCCGTGAGCCTTCACTGTGGACGCTCAGCACGCATCTCCCAAGAGTAAGGGTGTTTACTGCAGTACCGCTGTCTTGCCTAAGAAAATTAATTTTCAGTCATCTAATAGACCAAAATACATTTTAGATTTTGTGTGTGCTCCAGGAATTGTAACCAGGGCCTCGCACTTGCCAGGCTGAGCTACGTGCCTGGCTCCAGAACTTTTCTCTAAGTGGTCTTGGCTTTTTGCTCTCACCTTAAAGGCAAGTAGTACTCCAAACCCAGGGCCTCATACATGTCACTGTGCCACTCGGCCATGTCTCCACACCGTCACCCTAATCTTTTCTTTTTTTTTTTTTTTTTTTTTTTTTTGGCGGAACCGGGGATTGAACTCAGACCCTTGTGCTTGCCAAGGAAGCGCTTATTCCACTGAGCCATCTCCCCGGCCCCTAATCTTTTCATTTGTGATCTTGTCATTGTCCTGTTTCTCATGGCAAGGTGAAGTGTGGTCCTGAGGTGGCCGAGGGACCCCCATCCCCCAAGAGCAGCCCCCCCCCGGGATCCCCTTCCCTCAGAGTAGCCCACCCTCTGCGGGGCCAAGAGCAGTCTTCTGTTCACTGTGGCTCCAGGGGCTGTGATGAAGGAGTGGCCTGGGTTTGGTGACAAACTGATCCTAAAACTTAGGCCAAGGGATGTGGCTCGCGCCCTGCAAAACCCCATTGTCAGCCCAGTGGGGGTGCTCAGGTCGAGCTGTCCAGCATCTGTCCGTCCAGCTTGTGGCTCTGCGTTGTTCTCTGTGGACTTAGCCGGCCAGGGCTGGGATGTAGCTCAGCGGCACCGATGCCTGCCTGCCAAGTGCAAGGTCCTGCGTTCAGTTCCCAGTACCAAAGTAAAGCCTACCCGACCAGCAGCACCGTGACGAAGAGCTTTTCTTCTAGAGTTCTCGTGTAAGTCCCAGAGGCGGCTTTTACCAGCCTGCCTTTTAGTGTCCTGCCTCCACACACATTTGAGCACCGTGGCCTCTGATTATTGTACGGCTGAGCTTGCAGTGAGTACTGGAACTCCCAGTCCTGCCTCAGCCTCCCGAGTGCTGGGACTCTAGGCATGTGCCACCACACCCTGGTTATCTTTCACTTATTAGGCATTACTTACAATTTAGAAAGTAGAGCATCAACAAGCCCTTTCTTTGTATCTGTGATAGCTCAGTGATGACCCTGAGGTTGTGGTAAAGTGATCGGGCACGATGATTCACACCAGGAATCCCAGCACTTGGGAGGCTGAAGCAGGAGGCGTGCTATGAGTTCAAGGCCAGCTGTTCCAAGAACCTGTCTCACAGAATGAAAACCCAACCCCTCCCTTTTTTGGGGGGCCAGGACCTATGTATACGTCTGTTACCAGCTAACATTTTGCACTTTTTAAAACATTTGCAAGTCAGCAGCAGCATCATTTCTAAATACTGAGTATGCTGTCTTGAGCATAAACTGCTCTTCTCCCATCTTTGAACAGTTAGGTTTCCTTTTGTCCCTGACATAAAAGTCCAGGCTTTAAGGACTGAACCTGCTCTGGGTCTGCTCCCTCGCGTCCGGCCAGGTGGAGCGGTACTTCGCGGGGACGCGTCTTGCCCACAGCGCACCGGGTGCAGCGTGGCTGGCTCTTGGTGCTCTCAGGACCCCATCCCCCTATCGGACCGTGAGCTCCTGGCGCTGGGTGTGTCCTGCTCCCCTTTGGCACTCCGGCCCGCAGTGGGACACACGGAGGGTGCTCCAGCCTGAAGGAACGGCAAGAAGGCCGGAACCGAGCTAAGGTACGCAGATGCCGAGGGGGCTTGCGAGCTGCCGTCGGGGATGCCTGCTGCGTGCACAGCCGCACGCACGCGGCTCTCTGCTCTTCTGTGCTCCAGCTCCTGCACTCCTCGGGGTGTGGCAACTGGCCAGGTTGCTGCCCACTGTGAGTGTTGCGCAGGCCTCTCGGGAGCTCAGCGCAGCGAGTGCCTGCCTGGCGAGCGCACGTCTGAGTGCAGTCCCGGTACAAAGCAGAAAGCAGCTTCCTTGCTGCCTGTGCCTGTGGGACCCGGGAGGTGCTGTTCCCCATCCTGGCTCCTTCAGAGACACCGCAGGACCAGAAGGAAGCAGCCCCTCAGCACCCTGACACTAGAGGGAGGGAAGGACCACGCCCCAGCTGTCACTTTACTGGCACTACCGCCAGCCTTAAGTGTTCTTTTAATTCTTTTGGCAGAACCGGGGATTCAACTCAGGCCCTTGCGCTTGCCAGGGAAGCGCTTATTCCTCCGCACCATCTCCCCAGCCTTTAGTGGTCTTTGACAGAAACCCAGGCCCACTTTTTGCCAAAATGTTCACTATGTTGGGCTTCTAAACATAGAACATGTTGAGGAACACGACAGCGGGGTGTGCTCAGTCGGCTGAGGAGCCGCACGCAGGCGCACACCTGTAGTCCCAGCCCTGGAGGCTGAGGCAGGAGGGCGGCTACACAGAACCTGTCTTGAGGGGAAAAAAACAGCTGCAAAAGGGAGTAAGGAAGCTCCTTACGCTGTTACTCTTCCAGGATAACGTGTTCATGTCTTCTGTGACCAAAAGGAAGAGAACATATCTAACAGCTAGGCTAACTCCAGAGGACAGAGGCGCCTGCCCCGTGGCACCGCAGGGTTCTGGGCACTAAAGGTGCCTCTGCTCAGCCCGTGGCCCCAAGGAGACCTCCTGGGGCAGGCCTTCGGCTCCCCTGCCCACAGACCGAAATGTCAGTAACAGGAAGCAGTTCTTTCACGGCAAGACTTGAGCTAAGCTTCATCAAAACCTAGGGAATATGGCACATCACCTGCATCAACCCAAGGAGTGACAGACCGTGATGGAAGAGGCAGAATCAGCACCAGCACGTGACAGGAACACAATGCCAAGCTGACCTCCAAAAGGAAAGAGAGCTTCCTTTTTTTTCAAAATTATTCTATAAATATAGAGGTGGGAGTGGTAGCCCACACCTGTAATTCCCAGGTCTCAGGAGGCTGAGGCAGGAAGACCACCAGAGTTTGAGGCCAGCCTGAACTACAAGCAAGACCATTTAAAAAAACTGAAAAAAAAAAGGGGGGGGGATTCTTCAGTAAGAGATGAAAAACTTAGTTTCAGATACTGCTGCCAGCTGCAGCTGGTAACATCTAACAGTGGCTTATGGACTATAAAAACTTCTTTGTTCATGAATACATTTATTCCTCAGATTGAAAGCAGGGAGAGAAACATTTCAAGGGCACTGCTGGAAAAACTGGATTAGCATGAATGACAAACCCACCTTTTTTCCAGATACATTCTTAAAATACTAAGCAGTATCAATATACAAAAGCACTTTATAAACACAGAAAAAGGAGAAAAAAACGTTGGTTTTACCGATTTATTTTCAAAGGGCAAAACGAGACAACTTAAATACACGTCCAGCAGAGCTGCTGTGAGGACAGCGCACGCTCACTCCTCACCAGCGTCGCCGGAGTCCTGTGAGGAAAGGGGCCGGATGAGAACAGAGCAGGTTCAGGGTGGTTTCTGCTGTAGTCAGCGACTCTGAAGTGGCATCTTGTAAGACATTAGGTCTAGTGTAATTACACACACAGACGCCGTATGGTATTTTAACTTAAGAGGTCTTGCCCTCATTATTCTGGGCCTGAGTGACAGCTAGTGTCTGCGGGCTTCTACCAGGCAGTATCACAGGCACTGCGCACACACCGTTCAACTATCCTCAAAAAAGCCCCAGCTAGGCCAGGCATGGTGGCACGTGTGTGTGGCCCCTGCACATGGGAGGCTGAGGCGGGCAGATCATTGAGAATTCGAGGCGGGCTTGCGCTACACAGTGAGCAGGACCAGCCTCGAACGCAGTGAGACCCAGTCTCAACAACAGAAAGGGAGAACGCCCTGAGCGAGGCCCATTACTGGCGCCATCTTACAGATGAGAAAGCTCGAAAGGCTACGCAGCCCGCCCAAGAGCAGCAGGCTGGCAGCAGGGCTGAGGGCCCTCCTGGCCGCGACGCCCTGGACGGCTGACCCTGGGGAGCAGCGGGCGGTCTGCTGCCCGAGTCACCCTGCTCAGAACGCTGTCAGAGGCTGCTGCTGACAAGGGCTGGCATCAGGGAGGCCTCCCTGCGCAGGAGAGCCTGCTCCCAGGCCCTCGTGGGCGGTACCCTTCAAGCGCAAGCAGTGAGTGCAGGCGGCCTGTTTCAACATTGCTGAGAGCGTCTGTCAAGCATTCTCATTTTTTCTCTTGCTCTCTGCAACAACTGGACGATTACGTCTAGCCCACTTCCGAAAGCCACACTGCTTACCTGGTACTTTATTCATATACATCCTTCTTATCTGCAATGTAATCTACAATTTCTTGTGGGCACATTAACTTTTCCGCATCTATATCAGGAATTTCAAACCCTAGAGGAAAAACAAGACGACGTGAGTACAGAATGCGCCCGACGCCTCACAGCACCCGGCAGTCTGGAGTCCCAGTTGGGGGTGAGCCAGCGCGGGGGCTTTCCAGACGCAGGAGCAGCCAGTTCCTCCTTGAAAGTGCGCCTCTGTGCGCGGCCTTACACCAGCCCAGGAGCAAGGAGCAGCCCTGCTCATGATGTCCTCGTCTATGGACCTGCCTCTCGGGGATTTTAGGGCAGTGTTTATAGGGCCTTCAGGGTCTCATTACTAGATCAGACCTGTAGTGATCCTCCTGTTTACAGCCTCCCAAGAGCTGGGATTACAGGGGTGCGCCACCACGCCCAGGCTCAATTGCTGTCTCAGGACAACCCGGGGGCGGGCCAGCACGGCAGGCCTGGGGAGCGAATCCCAGCCCTTGTGCCTGCTTGCAGCTTTAATGACTAGGGGGTTTTTTGGTGGTACTGGGCACTGAGCCCAGGCCTACAGCCCTCACCCCTTCCCCTTCCGAGCCTCCATGCCTGGCTGGATTTGCTGCTTCCTGACACTTTACACCTACAGAATCATGCAACACAGACTATGTACTGGCTCTTTTCACTTGGCATGTTCTCAAGGTTCACGAGGGAGGTACTAACTCCAAGCAGCAAACCATGAGTGCAAGCAGCCTGCTTATAAACGGTGAAAACTTCTGTCAAGCATTCTTTTTTCTTTTGCTTTCTGCAATAACTAGACAGATTACATCTATAGACCACTTCCTGGTACTTTATTCACATACATCCTTAACTGCAATGTAATCTGTAATTTCTTGTAGATTGTACTTTATTCCTTTTTATGAAAGGGGCTTTGTTCTGTGGCACTGGGGACAGAACTCAGGGCCTTGTACTTGCCAGGCAGGCACTTATGCCACTGAGCTACCTCCATCCAGAGGGTTCCTCCCTGGTGCCCTCACGTTACAGCGGAAGGAACAACAGCTGCTGTTCAGACTCACACAGGACTAACCCCGTCAGACCCAGGGCTCGTAACCTCTGGGCAGACAGTGCGCCCCCCTCCCCACCCCGGGGCAGCAGTGTCTGGGGCGGATCTGAAGTCATGCTCAGCAGGGGCGCAGACCCTGCTCCCACCCAGCAGTTTTCATGAAGGTCTCCCATGCACAACAGCGTCCAACAAAGAGAGCTTGGAGTGCGCGAAGTGCTCAGCGAGACCAAGGTCACAGGACGCATCCGCACAACCTGTCACCTCTGCCGCCACACGCAGGCCGACCCTCTCCAGGGGAGGCCTTTGCCTGCCCCGCTGGAAGCCACCTGACTGTCCCTGGTACTTACCTTCCCTGACCATGGGGGCAGAGGATGCCTGCTGCAGGGAGTGGGCGCTGTCCCTAACCCACCTGATTTCCACTCAGACTCCCAGTGGAACTGCACCCTAAGAACCATGACATACAGATGCAAGATTAAGCCTTGGTATGTTACCAAATTCATCCTCCATGGCCATGATAATCTCCACTTGGTCCAAGCTGTCTAAGCCCAGGTCTTTCATAAAATGGGAATTTACTGAGAGCTGCAAGAAAGGAAGACCAAACGAAATTCAGTGTGTGAAAGCATTTCTTTCCTAACACCTAAGAGCGCAACGCCACTTACTCATCACACAGATGTTATGCAGTCTAGGCTGATGCTGAGCTCACTAAGCAGTCCGGGCTGGCCTCAGACCCTCACCTCCCACAGGAGGGTGACCCCGTAGGTGTCACACCCAGTTAGATTTATTTGTTTTGGCGGGACCAGGGACTGAACTCAGAACTCTGCGCTTGCCAGGGAAGCACTTACTCCACTGAGCCACCTCCCCAGCCCTAGATTTTTTAAAATACAGACTGTAATTACCATTATACATTTAACCCATGCCTGCATGTGTAAGGTATGCTTTGTGTTACTTTGTTCAACTTTCAAGTGTTTAATAGCATAAAGCTAATGATGAAGGAATGCACATCACATCGTTTACTGTTTATTGGTTTAGTTTTTGAGACAGTGTCTCTCTAAGGCTGGCTTTGCGCTATGTAGCCCAGGCTGGCCTTGAACTTGCTGAGCTCCTCTGGCCTCAGCCTGAGTGCTGAGATTAGAGGCTGTGCCACCACAACCAGCATGTTATTTTACTATGGTCTTTAATCCCTTTTTTGGCGGAACTAGGGATTGAACTCAGGCCCCTGCGCTTGCCAGGTAAGTGCTTGTTATACTGAGCTATGTCCCTGGCCCTAATCACTTTTTTAAAAACGTATTTTGTACAGGGCTCACTATGCGGCTTGGTAACGATTCTCTTGTTTTCAGTCTCCCTAGCACTGAGATTACAGGTGTGCACCACCACGCCTGGTCTCCGTAGCTGGCTCAGTGCAGCCTGTGGTGACAGGGATTGAACCCTGGTCCTGGCAGGCATTTAGTCCACTGAGCTCTCTTGCAGCCCTTTAATCACTGTTATACATGACTTTTAAGTTTAGTTTCCTGCTGCCTTATTGACAGCTGAGACCTCTCACCTTAGATACAGCATTTCTCTCCCTCAAAAGTGGTTGTGCATGCCTACCATCCCAGCATGCAGGAGGCTAAGGCATGAGACTGCCAAGCTCAAGGCCAGCCCAGAACAGAGAGCAAGGCCCTATCTTTAAAGAAAAGCTGGCTATTGTAGGGCTGGAGATGCAGGCCAGGGGTAAGGGCTTGCTTAGCCAGTGTGAGGTCCTGGAGTTGTACCCAGTGCGGCAAATCAGGACTGCTGCAAGCTGCAGGTGACACAATCTATCACCTTTCTCCTACTTCAGCCCCACAGGATCAGCAGCAGGCCCAGAGGGCTGGCCCGCAAGTGCAGGGTTCTGGGTCTATCTGCAAGCCTACGCCTCCTGTCCCCATCAGAAGGAAGAATTCTTTAAAACCCCTATCAAAAAACCAAATTCTCACATCCGCCACAGCAACCAATGAAGAACAGTAGCCGTGGCCCTCTGCTATCTTGTGGCCCTGGGCCTCAACAAGGGCCACAAGGTGACTAAGAATGTGAGCAAACCAAGGCACAGCCGCCACTGCACATCCTCACCAAACACACCAAGTTCATGCAGGGAGGTGTGCGGCTTCACCCCCTAAGAGCAGCGCGCCATGGAGCTGCTCAAGGTCAAGGATAAATGCACCCTCAAGTTCATCAAGAAAAGTCTGGGGACGCACATTTGTGCCAAGAAGAAGCATGAGGAGCTGAGCAACGTGCTGGCCACCATAAGGAAGGCAGCTGCCGAGAGGGACTGAGCCTCTCTGGAAGAAAGCTTGGCAGAAAGTTCAAAAAAACAAAAATTCTCGAACCAGGCGTGCTGGTACACACCCAGCACTCCAGAGGTTGAAAAGGAGGATCAGAGTTTGAGACTGGCCTGGAGGCTACAAAGGGAGCACAAGGCCACCTAGAACTATATAGAGACCCTGTCTCAAAAAAAAAAAAAAAAAAAAAAAGCTCTTTGCAAGGACAGTGGCATAGCCCTGTAACCCCAGCTGCTTGGGAGACTCAGGCAAGAGGACTGACTGTGATTCCAGGTTTGAGGCCATCTCAAGCAATTCAGGGAGATCCTTGTCTCAAAAAGGAAAAAGGGCGGGCCAGGGCGATGGCTCAGTGGTACAAGCTCCTGCATAGCAAGAGCAAGGTCCGGAGTTCAATCCCTGGTACCACAGGAAGAAAAAAAAAAAAGGAAAAAGGGTTGGGTAGACTACAACCCTGGAGTTCATTCCAGAGTAAGTCCTATCCTATCTGTTATATTAAGAGTTTCAGTAAATCACCCATGGGACTTGAACTATCAGTTTTCCTGCCTGGGTTTCCCTCCTGCTGAGACTACAGGTGTGCCTGCTTACTACGGATTAAAGAAGAATTTACTATGGATTAAAGATTTTATGTAAAGACCAAATTGGTCCTGCTGGTCTAGCCTGGAACATTTGGTCCTTCCACCTCAGTCTTCTAAGCATGAGATTATAGGGCTGTGCCACCAGGCCTGTTTGTTTAATTAATTAATTATTTTTGGCGGAACTGGGGATTAAACTCAGGTCCTTGCACTTGCCAAATAAGTGCTTATTCTACTGAGCCATCTCCCTGGCTCCAGGCCTGCTTTAAAGAAGGAAACTATACCTGGGCATGGTGGCACATGCCTGTGATGCCTGTAAGGCCTGTAATCCCAGCAATTCTAGCACTCAGGTGAGGCAGGAAGAACGATGCAAACTGGAGACCAGCCTAGGCTACAGAAGGAGTTTAAGGTTAGCCTGAACTGCCCATTCTGTTATGATAAAAATCTTGAAGAGTCATGAAATTAAAAAAGCAAGGGGCAGGAGCCGGGGGGAGGGCTCAGTGGAACAAGTGCTTCGCTGGCAAGCGCAAGGGGCTGAGTTCAATCCCCAGTTCTGCAAAGGGAAAAAAAAAGCAAGGGGCAGAACAAGTGGTACACTAGCACATGTAGGTTTGTCGCTGGGGATCAAACCCTGGTCGCAAATGCTAGTGTGCATTCTACAACTGACCCGTGCCCTCTGCCCACTTAGCGTGTCCTGTGGGAGATCTGCCGTAAGTGTGTGTGCATGGGTGCACGCGTAGCAGGGCCTTGGTTCACAGACTTGATTCTTTCCCCAATTCTGGGCGTAAACCGGGTTGGACGAGACCCAACTCGAATCCCACGTTAGGTTCAGTGTTGACCTTATGGGGGAATTTGCTTTGGTGCTTGTGCAGTTCTGTTTGTGATCAGAACTGTGGAAGCGAGTCGCAAAGTGAGACACGGCATCGTCTGCGCAAGGACACACAAGCATCTGGGGCGCTGGCCACCGCCAGCGGGCACCAGGCGGCTGGGAGTCAGGAGACCCTCTACTGAGCACCCTTGGAATTTCACACGGTGGGATCAAACACTGCAGGGAAAGGGGTAAACCGTATCAGTCACCTTTTCTGGGTCAATCTTGTCATACAATTTCAAGACATAGAGAACCCGATCCTTGATTCCTTCCAGCGTCAGAGGGGGCGCGTCGCTGTACTGGCGGCACAGCAGTGGGACCCTCCCCGGCACCTAGAGTGTGGGCAGGAAGGCAGCGTGGTCAGTGAACCCAAAGCGCCTTTAGATACACGCAAGCACTGAGGGCTGTCCTTTACAGAGCTCTTAGGGCTATATGGAACGGCGGCCGTTGGGACATGCCGTCACCGAGCTGGGCAGGCAGCCCTGGCTTCCTTCCTCTCAGAGCCAGACTGGCCCGACTTGCGGGTTCAGAGTGCAGGCTTTGGATATTCATGCTGCGGAGCCTGTCGCCTTAGCTTCTGAAGTCCTTTAGGGCCAGGTGTGGCAGCTCAGACCTCAACTACAAGGTAAGATCCTGTCTTAAGCAGGTGGCCAGCCGGCCAGCGGAGTTGTCAGACGGTACTGAAAGGCATCTCAAAATTGGCTTCAGTGGTGGATGCACTGACCTCAGCCAGGAGGCCTGAAACCACCTACCCAGCCACCACATTCCAATCTAGCTCCCTTCCAGGGAGGTTTGTCTTACTGCCTGCAGCCACGGCATGGGTCATCAATCTCTGCGGGGATAGAGGAATATCTCGAGACCCACATCAAGCTGCCGGATACTTAAGTAGGTACTGGATCTTGGCTGCGTTTCTTTCACTGAATGTGGGGTGAGCTCTAACTCCACAGGGCAGGGGATTTACATGTGGGGAAGGTTAAGAAAAATCACACGTCTGGCTGTCTGGCTCACTGTGGATTCCTTAATCTAAACTGGTTCACGTTCCAAAGTTACTTTGAAGTCCTCAGTGCGTAGTTCTTAGGGCACTCCCCCATAAGAAGTGAACTGGCTTGTTGCTGCTCAGTCCCTGACACTCACAAAAGGCTCTAAAAAAATACTGATTTAAAAAAAAAAAAAACTGGGCCGGGGAGATGGCTCAGTGGAGTAAGCGCTTCCCTGGCAAGAGCAAGAGCCTGAGTTCAATCCCTGGTTCCACCAAAAAACAAATAAATAAAATAAAATAAACCAAGAGCTGGCCAAATAAATAGCTCAGCGGACTAAAGCACCTGCAAGCAGGCACAGGGGCCACGGGCCAGGGGTTTGATCCCCAGGCCTGATGTGCAGGCCCTGCCCCCAGGACATACTTAGATGGCAACTGAGACTGGTGGTGCGCCTGCAATCCCAGCTCTTTGGAGCCTGTAAACAGGCGGATCCCTAGGAGCCTGATTTAGTAGTGTGATCCTGAACACCCTGTAGACCCTTCCCTAAAATATATTAAAAAAAAAAACAAAAAAACACCAAAAAAGCATATGCCTTACAAGCACAAAGCCCAAATTTGATCCCCAGTAATCCACCAAAAACAAAACAAAACAAAACAAAACCCCAAAGGAACCAAGCCAATATATAGCTCTGTGTTAAGAAACATTTACTTATTTACTTTTAAAATAAAACTTGATATTAAAATTATGCTCAATAAACAAACTAAAGAGATTAATTGAATTTTCGGCATAGTCTAGAATCTTCGAGGGTTTTTTTGGTTGTTTTTTTTTTTGTGGTACTGGGGATCAAACTCAGGACCTTGCACTTAATGAGGCAAGTGCTTAAGTCACTGAGCTATCTCCCTGGCCCTTAGTCAAGTACTTTGAAGGGACATTTTTGAGCCACAGTTTCACTGTTAAGTACATGGTCTCCTTCCTCTGGGTGGGGAGACTCTGATAGAGAGAATCCCTGGGCCACCTATCAGTAATAACTGGAAGAGGTTTCCAGGTCACAAGTAGGATGGACAAGAGAAAGAGGGACTGTACTCCTGCCTCCCCTGTTAAAGAGAAAAGAAATTATTTAAGAGTAATGACAGAAGCGCCAGCGAGACAGTGGACTAAGCACCTACTCAGGCAAGCACAGGGACCAGGGTTCAAGCCCTGGTACCACATGCCACACTGGCACCAGCCCCAGCTCAGTGGGCACAGTGGTGCACACCTGTGGTCCCAGGGCTGGGGAGGCTGAAAACAGGAGGATCACTATGAGTCCGAGCTGTGTAATGAGGCCTTGTACCAAATACATACCAAAAAAATAACATAGTGACAGAAATTTGAGAGCTGAACATGGTGGCACACGCCTGGAACCTCAGCATTTGGAAGGCTCAGCCAGGATTGCTGTTTGAAGCCAGCCTGGGCTACACAGAGACCCTGTCTTGAAAATCCAAAAATTAGGCTGGCCAGATAGCTGAGCGGATTAAAGTGCCTGCTTAGGCAGAATGTAGCAGCTAGGATTCAATCCCTAGTGTGCGGTGCTGGCTCTGCCCCCCCCGGGCACACTGAGACTGAGACTGGGTGAGGTGGCGCGCGCCTTTAATCCCAGTGCTTAGGAGGCTGAACACAGGAGAATCACTACAAGTCCAATCTGTAGTGAGACCCTGTAGACCCTGTCCTAAATATAAAAAATAAAAAAGAGTTTAAAAATAACACAGGAGGCCTAGTGAGGGCATGCTGGTGTCAGGCAGCCCTGGCCGCCAGTGCGGGTAAGCACCATGTGATTAGAGCAAGCGGGCCGCTGCTAGAGTCCACGGGAGCCCCAGCCAGTGTGGGTGGGCAGCTAAGGCAGGGAGGGGCTGTGCTCCAGAAGGCACACCCAGGGGTTGGCGCGTTGCTGCACCCTGCGGCTAGCTTTCCTGAGCCATCTGCAGCTGGGCAAGCTAGGAACCTCTGTGTGCCTCAGCTTCTTTATCTGTAAAGTGGGGTACAGAGCAGTACCATGCTTGGCAGACTGTTGTGAGGCATCAATGAGATGAAGTAAAGGGCTCTGGACACTGTTTGGCTCATGCATAAGTATAGCTTAGCATTGTGCTGTAGGACCACGACAATGACAGCTGGCCAGTGTCACCCTCTGCTTGAAGCCCCAAATACCTGATCCCATACCTTTCTCTCAGTCTCTACTGGGCCTGCGTCTCTGGTGTCTTTACTGATTCTTTACTAAGCACAGCCTGAAGCACTCTCCACTCACTCACTCAGCTTTCCCAGGGACCCTGGGAGATGCACAACACTTCCCTCTACAGGTGTGGAAGCTGAGGCAGAGAATGGCTGTGTATCCTAGCACAGTTCCTCCCCACAACCTCTCCGGAGGGTCTCAGTGCACCTCCCTGTTGAATCTCCACTGTTCAATTCAAAACAACAATAACCCAAAAATTACAGTAGAGAACGAGGAGACTCGCCTCCCCAACAGGCAGCAGGGGCTGTTTCTATGTGTTATCCCCGCACACCTGCGACCTAAGGATTGCAGGTGATATCACGTGCGGCCCCCGCCCCCCCTCAGAGAAGGCAGTGCTTGCAGACAGCGTGACTGGCCTCCGGACAGGGACTCCACCTGATCAGCTGCATCACCCACCTTAGTCCACTGGGGCTCAGCTCTGCCTAAGGAAACAGCTTGCAAGGCCCTCCCTGGAGCTGGCCACTGGACAGCTCTGCCTAGCTGGCTCAAAGCCGACTGATAGAAACAAGCCCCACACCTGTCTCCAAAACTTTCCCTGACTCCTCCACTTCTTCCCACCTGGGGCTTTAGCCAGAAACGCCAGAGCCAGTCCCTGCCCTCCCCAGTTTCTTGGCAACGTGTTCACTCAGTCACAAAGCCTGGCTGACCGGGAAGACGGATCTCATTCCTGCCTTCCACAGACCTTGCTTCCTGTAACCTCAGCAGAGCACCCACAACCTTCAACAGGCTTGGTTTCTAACTGTCTCTCATACCTTCCAATGAACTTAGTCAAACTACTCTGAACCCGAAGTAAAATATTTCCTCTGCTGAACATGTAAACCAGGCAAAGCTGGAAGACCTTCAAGCACCTTGCTATTCAAAGTGGGGCCAAGGACTACAGCAGCAGTGTGGGGGAGCCTGCTGCACATGGAAACTCCAAGGCCCCTTACAGGCAGGCCCACGGAATCTGAATCTGTTTCAGCTCAGTCTATACCCATATGCCCAAACAAGCTTGAGAATCAGCGCTGTAAAAACAGGGACAATCCATCAGTGTTTCTAACACTGGAATCGGTCTCAGGACCCAGACACTCGGCCACTCTACTCCATCCTTTAAACCCCTGACTTAAGGTGCCTATGTATTACCTTTCTGAGACAGCTGACAGGACAGCGTCCTCTGAACTACTAGCCCATTACTCGGCCAGTGAGCCTCAACACTGGCTACTCAAAGGATCTCTTGAGTTCAGATTCTGATTGACTTAGCCTGAGACTCTATTTTCTACTGTAGCGATGCAGTCATGGCCGAAACCAGCAGGAAGCTCAGAAGGTCGGAAGTTAACCTAATCTACTCCACCTTCAAACAACTGTTTTTTTTACTGAGGTCGAACAGAGTTGAGGGTAGGCACACGCTCCTAAGCTGCATTCACCTGTTGTAAGTTCTCACCAAATCTTCAGCCTCCAGAGTAGCTGGGAAGTGCACGCACCGCGCAGTCCGGCTCAGGCAGGCCTTAATCTTGGGATGCAAACACACTGCCTCGCAGAGACCTCATCCCAGAGGAGGAAACCAGAGGCGAGTGGGAGGACAGTCAGGGGATTTGTTACCCTGGTGACTTGTGTGGTGAGAGTTCAAAAATGCACTGTCCACAAAGGCGTGCTGAGGACCGGGTGGGCGCCAGCACCACGCGGTGGCAGCCTGGTCCAGGCTGCATCGCTAAGAAAGCTACACACTACCGGGTTCCCAGCTTTCTTTTTCGTACCGGGAATCGAACGCTGGACCTCGTGCTTGCCAAGGCAGGGCCGTGCGGCTGCGCTGCATCCCTAGCCCACTTCCTATCCGGACTTCCAGAGGGGCCCAAAGAGGTAAAGGGTGTCACAGGGGAAGGGAAAGGCCGAGTTCCAAGAAGAGAACCTCTCCAGGGGAGGCCGGCGGCTTCCTCTCGGCAGCGCACAAGCCCTCCCGCAGAAGGCGGCCACGGCGCTGAGCACTTCCAGCACAGCTCGGGCCCAGGACCGCTAGCCGCCCGCGGCCGCCCCGCCGAGCACACGCCAGCGCCGACCCCGCGCTCAGCCCGAGGCTCTGCGGTCCCCAGCTCGGGCAGCGCCGCAGCAGTCCCGCCGGCACCCGCACAAGTCGCCTCGCCTCGCCTCGCACGAGGGGCTCCGCGCCCGCCCGCAGCAATTGCGGCCGCGGCCCTCCCCCACCCGCGACCGGATCCCCGACCCTGCCAACCCCGCCAGTCACCGCGAGCCACCTGTGCGAGCAACGAGGCCGGCTGCGCCGCCCCTGGCCTCGTCTGGGTCCCCGCGGGACACAACGCAGTGCCGAGCGTCCGGGCCAGGGCCAGCGTGGGAACCCGGGGCGGCGGCGCGAAGGCTGAGGGCAGGCGGCGGACACAGGAGGAAAGGACACGGGCCGCCATGGCTGCGCCGACCCAGGATGCACAGCGCCGGAACTGCGCGCCCGTTTCCGGTCCGCAGCGCGCGCCAGAGAGGCCGCCAGGAGCCGCCCGCGATAGCGCCCTCTAGCGTGTCCTGGAGGAACTGCGCCCTGCAGCCGGCGGCCCCGCGCGGGTTCAGAGGCGAGCCGGTTCCCCAAGTTTACTTCTCTAGACGGGCTGAAATACATATAGAAGTTTTGATGACGGCACTGTTCCATAGATATTAAAATTTAACGGACTGAAGACAGCATCCAAATAGCATGTAAAAATGTAAAAATTGATTTAAGCATATTGCTAATATTTTTAATGTTTAAAAAAAATTATTTGCTTTAAAATAAAAAGGCGAGGGGCCGGGGAGTTGGCTCAGTAGAATAAGTGTTTGCCTGGCAAGCGCAAAGGCCTGAGTTCAACCCCAGTTCTGCCAAAAAAATAATTAATTAATTAAATTAAATTAAAAGGGGAGCCAGGGAAAGCTCAATGGCACAAGCACTTGCCTGGCAAGTGCAAGGGCCTGAGTTCGATT